ACTCCTAATCGCTCAAGCTAAGGTTAGACCAAACACTTACCTCGATGCCACTAACACAATTCAAGCCTCAACTACCGCTTTACCTCTTGATTCCACCACCAATTCGCTCGTATCTAGCCACAAGTTACTTAACTATATCAATAAATGCTAAATGAATCAATTCTAATGCATGAAAATAGATTTTCTAGAGTTTTTCCCAAAAAGTCAAAAATCGATCCCGGGCCCACATGGTCAAAACCCGAGGTTCGAGCCAAAACCCGATTACCTATTCACCCACGAACTCAAATATATAATTTATTTTGAAATCGGACCTCAAATCGAGGTCCAAATTCCCAAAATTTGAAAAACCTATGTTCTACCCAAAATACCCAATTCCCCCATAAAAACCTTTGAATTTGAGTTGAAATCACGAGAAAAGATGTTAAAGATTAATAAAAACGAGTTAGAAATGACTTACAATCGATTTGGAAGAGTACTTGTCTTTGAAAAATCGCCCAAAGGTGTTTAGGTTTTAAAAGGGTTTGAAAAATGAAAGATTTTCGGCTAAGTTATGAATTTGCAGGTCGCAGGGTTCGCAATTGCAACCAGGGTTCGCAATTGCGAACCCTTCATAAGACTGCTCTCTGCGCATTTGCGGAGATTTTTATCGCATTTGCGACCACCCCATACTTTTTAAGGGGTTCGCATTTGCGAGGCAGACGTTGCTTTTGCGACTAGGGCCCTCCGCATTTGCGACCAAATGATCGCATTTGCGATCAGGCCTGCCTAGGCCTTCTTTCGCATTTGCGATGTTTTATTCGCATTTGCGAGCCAAACTTCGCAAATGCGAAGCCTGCAGACCTGCAATCATACCAATAATTTTCTAAGTCCAAATTTCACTCCGTGGCCTATCCAAAACTCACCCGAGTCCTCGGGGCTCCAAACCAAACATGCACACCAACCTAAAAACATCGTATGGACTTGCTCGTGCAATCAAATCATCAAAATAACATCAACAACTACGAATTGAACCCCAAATTCATGAAATCCTTCAAGAACACCAAAATTTCCAATTTCTCAACTTTAAGTCCGTTTTATATCAAACCAATTCCGATCTTTACCAAATTTTTCAAATCCAACCAAATTATTATTTCAAACTTGTACCGTGCTCCGGAACCAAAATACAGGCCCGATACCATCAAATTCAAACATATTTCATTTCAAAAACTCATATATATTCCAAAAAACAATTTTCTTTAAAAATTCATTTCTCGGGCTTTGGACCTCGGAATTCAATTCCGGGCATCGTCCAAGTCCCATATTTTTCGACGGACCCTCTGGGACCGTCAAATCACGGGTCGGGTCCGTTTACCCAAAATGTTGAACGAAGTCAACCTAAATTCATTTTAAAGGCAAAATTCATCATCTTTCACATATTTTCACATAATGGCTTTCCGGATACACTCCCGGACTGCGCACGCAAATCGAGGTGAAACAAAAAGGAGGTTTTAAGGCATCGGAACACAGAATTTATTTCTAAAACAAGTGATGACCTTTTGGGTCATCACATTCTCCACCTCTAAAGCAACCGTTCGTCCTCGAACGGACATAAGAAGGAAGTACCTGAGTCAGAGAAAAGATGGGGATATCGGCTCCATATATCGGACTCGGACTCCCAGGTCGATGACTCAGCAGGCTGACCTCTTCACTGAACACGAACAGGAGGGGACACTCTTCGATCGCAACTTACAAACCTACCGGTCCAGAATAGCTACCGGCTC